ATTGAATTTTCAACAATTCACATCCACCAATCACGCGATCCGCGCTAGAGATAGAACAATTTGGTTCAAACGAACGCTGCAGTATGAAATGTCGATTTTTAAATAGAAAACAAAAATTTTCGATTCGTACCTAATTACAACGCGTTATTACTCTGGGTGTGCCGATGGGAGTTAAACTCAAATTATTATTGACTGTATACTGTATTCGGTGTAATAATAAACGTAAAGCGGTCGTTGAATACCGACAAAAAAAAAAGAAAGAAAAAAAAAAGCGGCAAACGGACGTGGCCGAGAAGAAACACGAGACGCGGCCGTCGAGCTTCGCAGTCGCGTCGTTTAGCGGTCGGAAAAAAAGAACGAGCTACAGGACGGCCGAGGAGCATGAAATAGCACAACTGTACCCGTAAGCGTTCCGGTATTTAATGTGTAAACGCATTTTTTTTCCCAACATTATTATAATCGAAAACTCGAAGTAGCGAGCGTAACGGTACAGGGATGTTAAACTATTGTTATGACAGTTGTATCGCCGTGACGGATTGATTAGTCGTACGAAGAAATATTAGTCAAAAAGACCGATCGTACATAAATAAAAACACGGTACCCGTCAAACGCTTTCGCACGCTGCGCAATTATTTGTCTCAGAAACGTTGGTGCGACGTTCTCTCGTCACGTGTAACGCCGCAGATTCGCGTTCCGTTTGGGTACGTCAAACGTCCCTGCGACTGTACGTATTTCGGCCGCAACCACGTCTTTCACACGACAACTTTTAAACGTCCGCACAACGGTCGGCTACAATCCGCCGTGCTCGAATCGAAATTCCTTATTTCGGAATAACAAAACCACGTACAAGTGTTCCCGGAATCCGTAGGTAAAACCGGTACCGCCGCGTGCACGGTTTTTTCGGCAGAATTGTTCTCTTAAAAAAACGCCGGAACCGTATTGGCACAGTATTTGCGAAACGCACGCGCTGAACATACGGGAACGGCCGTGATGCGTAATGCGGAAACAACGTTATTCGTCCCGTTGACTTTATTAGATTTTTATCGATAATATTGTGTTATCGATAATCGACCGAGTACTGCTTGTCTACAGCATGGAGTTCCAAACACGATTATCATACGTAGAAAAAAAAAAAAAAAAACTGAAATACGACCGCCGCCGCGCCTCCTCTGTGTAACGTTATTATATTTACGTGACGCGTGGAAGTAAAAATAAAAAATAAAATAAGACGAAAGACAAAAAGAAAAAAAAAAAAAAAGGCTCGAGTCGTATAGTAAATATTATTTACTCGACGCGACAATAGTGTA